AATCTCTATGCATTTTCCGTGTATATGAGAGCTTCTGTATTTTCTCAGAGTTGGAAATCACATAACATGCGATGCAGCAAATGTATGGCTGCCACACACGCTTTACTACTGTTCATTCTATAGAGGGGAGAAAATTAAGGCGCTGGTGTCTGGTCACTTTGAATATTTTTAAACTGTGGCTGGACTTTGGGGGCACTGCTCCTGACCACAGATCCGTCGGAATACATATATATTTTTAAATGATAAACAAATTCCATTACAGTATACACACATACACACTTTAAAAAGCTGCTGATTCAAAAGCACTGCTAATGAAAATACCATAGGGGAAATGTTAATAAAAATTTCAGAATCCTCTCACGAAATGATGCCACAGTATGTCAGTAAATTCTTAGATAGAGGTTCTGACTTCGCCGAAATACTTCTTAAAACAGAGTTCAGCACTCTAATTTCCCAAGAATGCTTTTCCATTCAAAAACAGGAAAAATCTCTCCTTTCGAGGAGATTACCACGGTAACACTCTGTTAGTTTGACATTGTGATAACAAATGTATTTTCCCCAATATCATTCAACAGAGTTTAATAAACGGACTGTCATTGTCTTCCCAAAGCCCCAGACAATTTTGTAACATATCATAGAAAAGCGTAAACTCTCTCCCAGTAAGCCAAGGGGTAAAAGGCAGGTGTGGTGGTTGGAAGGGGGGGGAGGGGGGACAGAAAGCATAGTGACATTTAAGTTAACCCCAGGCAAATATCGCATGTTCCCTGTCCAAATCCGCGATTGAGATCACAAGAGAAAACCGGGATCCTGAGCAATTCTCCTAAGCCAAGCAGTGGGGTTCTGTGAGGGACTTGGGGTAAACTAGCAGCATGCCCTGTGGTGTCTTGTCCTCTCCAACACTCAGTCTGCTTCTTCTCCGGGCCAGGTAATCTTATTAATCTGCTTAAATACCGCTAGTGCAGCTTCCGGGAACAGGTATCTGAAGAATGGTAGAAAGCGTCTGGAATCCAGCCTTTGTGCACTGTTTGCAGGCTCTAGCTTTTTTTGCAGTTTACTTTCAATGTATGTGTGCAGGACCATTCTTGCAAGAGGTAAAAATAAGCTGCTGTTGGTCATAGTAAAAAAAAAAAAAAAAAAAAAATTACAGGAAAGAGTAAAGTAACCCCAATTATACGATAAAGTTATAGTGGGATTATAATTGAGCACCTGGTAGGCATGATCAGCATCCGACTTCAGCAGATTCGTCGCGAATCTGTGGTCTTTCCAGGAGTTGAGCCTTTTGTCGTCAGGCTCTGGAAGCTGGTCGACAGAGCCTGGAGCCTATATTTCGGTGTCCTGTGTCTCCCTCTCTCTCCTGCCTCCCCGTTCATTCTCTACTCTGTCCAAAAAAACCGTCCAAATTCACACCGCTTGGATCTTTACTTCTCAAGAGTGAGTTTACGTTTCATGATGTTAAGCTAAATTGTCTGGGGCTTGGGGTTAATAATGACAGTCCGTTTATTGTAACTCTGCTTAACGTGATATTGGGGAAAATACTTGTTTATCACGTCAGCAAAACTAAATGTTAAGGTTACCGGGTCTCCGTGAAACTGCATTTTTCCTGTTTTGAAATTGCAGCATTCTTGGGAAATTAGAGAAGAACTCTATTTTAAGAAGTACTTTATGAAGTCAGAACCTCTTATCTAAGAATGCCTTACTGACATACTGTGGCATCATTTCGTGAGAGGATTCTGAAATTCTTTATTTAGGTAATGGATTTCCTCTATGGCATTAAGAAGTGAATCAGCAGCTTTTTAAAGTGTGTATGTGTGTATACTGTAATGGAAATTTGCTTACGTCATTTTTAAAAATATATATGGTATTCGATTTCGGATCTGTGGTTTAGAGCAGTGTTCCCCAAAGTCCAGCCACAGTTTAAAAATATTCAGTGACTTATCATGCCTTAATTTTCCCCTCTATAGAATGGAACAGTAGTAAAGTGTGTATATGTTACACATTTGCTGTATCGGCCATGTTATGTGATTTCAACTCCCTGAGAAAATACAGTTTCATAATGGAAAATGCATAGAGATTTATACAATACTTACAAAACTTTGTGAAAAAACATGTGTACGTATGGTTTATTTTTATATATATTTACTACTATGTTTCCTAAAAACATACTATATGTTTCTGTATATTTGATAGGTTTCTCTTTTTAGGTTATATTTTTAGGATATTTCAGAAGTGTACTTTTATATCATTCCATTTGAATGATTATGCACATATCACTAAAATAGATGTATGCTTTCTCGCTACTGTGAAATTATTTTGTAGAATTCTAAATCCACATGTCATCAGATCTCATCTGTAGATCTTCATTGAACTCCCTGAAAATCAGAATAAAAGTTTCCAAATATTCCAAAAATGTTTCCTCTTCATTGCATCTGTTGTCTTACTAGGAAATTTTCTCAGTGTGGCCATTTTACAAGCCCCGGATCACAAAATCTACTCTTACAAACAGCTGGACTCGTCCAGAACAGTTTTACAGAAAGATAATCATTTGAATGGCAAAATAGTTTTCCATTTTTTGCTGCTTAAATATTTTTCAAGTCCATCTAGTTCTCTTTTTTTAATGTTTATTTATTTTTGAAAGAGAGAGAGAGCACACACATGGTGAGAAGAGGGAGACACGGAATCTGAAGCAGGCTCCGGGCTCTGAGCTGTCAGCACAGA